ATATATGTATATATATATATACCAGAAATAAGGTTAAGTACTATGAAGGGATAGAATATGACTCTAAAAATGAAAAATAAAAAAGATTTTTTAAAAAAGGGATTGATAAGATGTTGGTTGAAAAAGAGAAAAAGAAAAATTCAAAAAAAAAGAAAAAGTTAAAAAAATTAACTTTGAAAGACTAAAGAATCATGGGAAAAAAGCCATGAATCCTCTGTGCTGTATTCCCCTAGCGCTGGAGTTTTGCCGTTCTCATTGATCGGTAAACTTGGTCTTGGCTGGCTGTTCTTGCTGATCTTCTGGGGGAGGGCCCTGTTGCCGTGGTTCCCAACTGTCTGGAGGTGGAATTGCCCCACCCTTGGGGGTCTGGGCTAAGTAATCTGCTTGGGTTTGCTCTTGGGAGCTTTTGTTCCCTGCAAGCTTTCCATTCAGCTTTGGAGGTCGAGAGTGAAAATGACGGCCTCCCAATCTCCGCCCCAGAGGAGCCGAGAACTCGGGGCCCTGCTCCTCAGTGCGCCCGTGGAGAAAAGCAGTCAATCACTCCCGTCTCCCTGGTCTCCGGCTGCACACCGTGCTCACCTGGCCTGTGACCGAGCGTTTCTATCTCTGGCACCCGACCCCGTGTGGAGTCTCCAAACCCAGCAGATCCCTGCAGTGTGCTCCTGCACCACTCCTCCTGGGGGAGGAAGGGGAGTCTCCCTGGCTCTGCTGCTTGTTGGGTCCCTGCTGGAAGAGCAGTGGCCTGACTGTGCCGCAGATCACAGTTTATGGCAACCCTGAGCTGAGAGCCCGCACCTCGGCTCCGTCTCTGCAGCCGGCTTCCCTGCTCCAATACCTGGGAGCTCTGCCGCACTCAGGCACCCCTGGTCTTTCTGTACCCCGAGGGTCCTGAGACCACACTGTCCCAGCAGGGTTCCATCCCCCACTTAGCCACTGGAGCAAGGTCCCTCAGTGGAGCCGACTTCTAAAAGTTCCAATTTTGTGCTCCGCTGCTCTGTCACTTGCCAGAAGCACCCGATGGAGGCCTCCTCCCCCGCCGTCTATCCTCCTGAATATTGCTTCAGATTCACTTCTCCATGCATCCTACCTTCCAGAAAGCGGTCGCTTTTCTGTTCAGAGAGTTGCTGTTATTCTTTTCTTCAATCTCTTGTTGAGTTCGTAGGTGTTCAGAATGGTTTGATCCCTATGTAGCTGAATTCCTGGGAGGAGTGGAAATTTAGGTCTTATACCCCCCGCCATCTTGCTCCTACCCCAGTGTAAACTTTTTGAAGTTATTTCAGTAATACTCCTTCCTTGCCAGTTGCTCTTATTCTGATAGTTTCAGTAACTTCCATGAGTTGGAGGCAGGGGTGGGGGCACTTTAATTCAGAAGGTAGAGCTTTCTTTTTAGAGTTGAGACACTAGAGTGCTCCTCTGACCCACCACCAGTCAGTATAAGCTTCTTGGCATCCAGGGCATTAAAATATGGACAAGGAGCTTAGTCATCTAGACACTGAAGTAAAAAATGACAACCCTTATTCATGTAACAATGCTGTTAACTTTCCTTTCCCTATGTAGATTCTCCTCTCTTTTTTGACTCCTGGCGGCAACCGACTTCGCAACCAAATCTGTGAAGTTTTGGACACAGACCTCATTAGGCAACAGGCTGAGCACAGTGCTGTTGACATCCAAGGCCTGGCCAACTATGTCATCACTACAATGGGAAAGCTGTGTGCTCCCGTGCGAGATGACAATATCAGAGAGCTCAAGGCTACCAGCAACATCGTGGAGGTGCTGAGGTTAGCACTTTTGCTGCTTGCATTTTCTGAGAGTACCTTTGAGTTCATTCAAAAGGGAAGTGTGGGGTGGCAGGTACCTGTGTGGTGCAGTTGGTTAAGTGTTTGACTCTTGTTTTTGGCTCAGGTCATGATCTCAGGGTCATGAAATCAAGCCCTGAATTGGTCCCCACCCTCGGTGCAGTGACTGCTTGAGATTCTCTCTCCCTCTGCCCCTCCTGCTCGTGCTCTCTCTCACTCAAATAAATAAATATTAAAAAAACAAAACAAAAGGGAATGTGGGAATTGAGCAACACAGAATAATAACTGGATTCCCAAAGGAATCCTTGATCTTAGAAGAAAACCAGATAAGCAAAGCTAAGTATTTTTGTGCCTCCCTGCCCTGTCCTTTTTTTTTTCTTTTCTCTCTACCGCCCCCAATTCCAGTGGGAATAGAAACCATGTACACTTTGTTCAGACTCCTTAAAATTTCAGGGCTTTCCAATGAAAATTCCTTCTTGAATCTTCTTTGTCTCATTAAGACTCATTGTTTATGCTTCTTAGTGTCTATCAGTTTACGGCCAGGTGTAATGGATCAGCTAGAAGTATTGTGTTTGCTAAAGCAAATACTCTTGAGATCTGTGAAGATTACATTTGGAATGCAAGTGTAATGCCTTCTATGAAAAGTGACCTTGCCAATGGCAATGGGAATTTCAAAACTATTTGGGGATGTTTATCTTTTCCAGTCTGTAAAATAGATCACAGTTAATGAATTTCAGCTTAATTTCTTAATCACCTCTCTAATTATTTTAACTCTAAAATTTTTAGACAAATATTTCATGTCCTGGACCTCATGAAAATGGACATGGTCAATTTTACGATTAGGAGTCTTAGACCACATCTTCAACGCCAGTTGGTGGATTATGAGAGAACCAAGTTCCAAGAAATTTTAGAAGAAACTCCAAGTAAGTACAATATAATGTGTATATATTGAAATTGGGTGGAAATATGATGTGTTTATATTTTTGATGTCTTGAGTATCACTAAAGAATTTTGGCTTTTCTGTTAAACATTTTTTTTAACTTCTAAAATCGACATCACAAATTTATAGCTGTCTGCCCATGTCCCAAGAACTGTGCCAAGCATATTCATTTCTTCATGCATTAAAAAATATGTATTTATTGAGCACTGCTGTATGCGAGACACTGCTTAGTTGCTGTGAGTACTGTAGTGAACAAAACAATGTTGTGACCCCCAAGGAGCTGACATTCTAGTAGGCATGGCAAACAAACACATAACATATATTGTCAGATGTGTTAAGTGCTATGAAGAAAAGTAGGAAAAAAGGGCAGAGAGCAATGGGGCAGGAGTTGGAGAGGTGGTGTTTTTTAAGATAAGGTAGACTGGGAAGACCTCTCTAAGAAGTAACATTTGAGCAGAGTTTGCAAAGGAAAGAGGAAGGGGCATGTGAAAATGTGAGAGAAGAACATTCCAGCCAGAAGTAGCTGCAAGTGCAAAGGTGTGAAGCTTGCACGTGGAGTTGGACAGACAAGGCAGACAGTGTGGCTGGAGTAAAGTAGGCAGAGAGAGAGTGGGAGGAGACGCGGCTGAGAGGTAGACAAAGGCAGGTCCTATAGAGCCTTGCTAGGAAATGAGAGTTGAGAGTTGATTCCAAGTGTGATGGGAAGTCATTGGAGAGTTTTGAGTAGGAGGGCAACATGTGATTTTCATTTTTAAAGACTACTCTGGCTTCTGGGTAGAGAATAGATCATACCGGAGCAATGAGGGAAGGGAAACAGGGCCACCAAGTAGGTGGTATTGCAGTTGCTCCAGCGAGAACTAATGGTCCAGGTGGCAGTGGTGGAAGAATTACGAACAAGTCGGATTCTGGATGTATTTTGAAAGTTGAACAAACGATTTGCTGAAAGTTGGATGAAGGAGAAAAGGGAGGAGTTGAAGATGATGCTAAGGTTTTCACCTGAGCAGCAGGGGTGAATTGTGATGGCTATTTGTGAGGTGGGACAACTAGGGGAAGGCAGGGAGGGAGGTGGTATGGAATCAGGGTTCAGTTTTAGATATATGAACTTTGAGATCTTGTTTGGCATCCACATGGACACGTCAGGTAGGCATGTGGATATAAGAGATGAGAGTTCAGGGGAATGGCGGATACTGGGGGTATACATTCAGGACTCACCAGTATATTTATGATAGATAAAGCCACGAAACTGAGTAATAGCTAGCATGTGCTTACCACATGCTAAGCACTTTACCTGTATTAACTAATTTGATCTTTGCAACAACTTTAGGAAATGACTCACCATTTTACGGATGAGGAAACTGAGGGATAGAAAGGTTAGATCTCTTGCATCCATGACACAACTTGTAAGCTATGGAACTGGGACTCACCCAGGTGGTCTGGCTACACTGTTCATGCTCTTAGCCACAATATTACACTAGATGAAATTACGTGGGGAGTGAGTGTCGACACTGAAGAGGCCTGATTTGGGACTCTAGAGCATCTAGAGCTCAAAAAGAGAAGGATCCAGCAAAGGTGACTGTGAAAGAGTAGCCAGAGAGGTGAAGGAAGCCAGGAGCTGGTGATGTTCTGTAAGACAAGTGAACAAAGTGTTTGGAGAATGAAGACATAATCAGTCTGCTAAGTGGTCAAGAAAAATGGAGGCCAAGGCTTGACCACTGGATATGACTGCATGAGGATCCTTGTAACCCTGATGGAAGCAGGTTCGTGAACTAGTGGGCATTAAAACTGGACTGGAAGAGGGGTCAAGAAAGCCTGGGAGTAGAGAACGTGGTACCTCAATGAAACCTCACAGTTACTTAGTTAAGTAGGTACTGTCATACCCTTTATTTCACAGGCGAGGGAATTGAGATGCCGGATGTTGCACAGCTGGCAAAAGACTGGCTTATCAAATTCCCTCATGGGCAAACTCTTAACACTAGCTTCTGGGCTTTAATTCACTACACTATAAGGCTGTTAGATGATCCACCCACTTCACCCCCACCCCTCGTGGACTGAGCTTTTTTGTCAAGCTAGTCAATATGGTAGCCTTATGTAAACAAAGCCAAACAGGTGCCACTTTTAAAGGGGCTCCAAGAGTCTGGAGCATGTCCAGGGAAGAGGGCCTGGGTCGTGGAGGGTCATAGCAGGAACAGTCCATGAAGCTGTGCACATTCTGTTTGGTAACAAGGAGATGCATGTGGACCAGGAGCACTGCCTTCCTGTTGTTATTGATTCAGGGACTTTGAGTTAAGCTCCGTAGGGCGACTAGGATCCATGGAGGGAAATCACAGGCAGCCAGTTTTGACGTTTTTAGCAGCTGGAGCTATTTTAAGCTTGGAATGGGCCTCTCTAGTACTAGTAGTAATAGATAATAGATAGTAATAGTAATAGATAGCTGGCACTGTTACTAGTAGTAATAGCCAGCTATCATTTTGTTGAACACTTATTATATACCAAGTCCTTACTATGTGCCAGATGTTTTACCTTTATTAGCCCTTTCAGGCCTCACAAAGCCCTATGAATCTGGCACTGTTATCACTCACTATTTATAAATGAAGAAATGGGGGCGCCTGGGTGGCTCAGTCATTAAGCGTCTGCCTTCGGCTCAGGTCATGATCCCAGGGTCCTGGGATTGAGCCCCACGTCATCGGGTTCCAGAGAGCCCTGCTTCTCCCGCTCCCTCTGCCACTCCTCCTGCTTGTGCTCTCTCTCTCAAGTAAATAAATAAAAAATCTTTAAAAACATATACATAAAGAAATTGGGGTTAAGGTACTTACCCTAGGTGACTGCTAAAGCCTGAGTAAACCAGACATGTCTCTGCCCCAAAGCATGTACGTTGAACCGCTACACAACACTACCTGTCTTCAAATGAGATACTGACTTTCTTTGGGGCATCGGCAGACGGAGTGCTAGCACTAAGTGGCAGATAAGATTAAATGACTTCTAAGGATCCTTCCACAACCAAAATTCTGTGACTTCAGGGGTGTATTGTTTTAGCTCCAAAGGGAGAGAGGGATTAATGGAAATAGAACCCTACATAGAACCTGAATCTGAAACCTGAACTACAGTAATATGTTTGTAGCAGTGTTTTCCTTTCCAGTGTTTTTTTGGTTGGTTTCATTTGTGCACCTGTGTACATGTGTATACGTGTGTGTGCAAATGTCTCCATTTCTTGAGTCAAGATAGCTTGTCATCTGGAGCAAATTCCTTAATATTGGTTTGAATTACAATTTTTTTCATCTTAAATGATTTGTTTCTGTCCTTAAAACTCAGGCTTAGTGACCTGTTCATTTGTACTTTTGTTCATGTACCTAAGTTCATTTGTACTTTTCACATTGACTTGGATATTTTAAGAGATTTAAGAATAGAATAAATCCAGTTGTGCATATAGGTCATTATTGCCCAGCTCTAAATGTGTTCCCAGAGAAATCAGGAGTCCAGGAAGCAGAGTGTATGTCAGCTGTTAATTATATCCTCAAGTCGCTCTGCCAAAAATTGGTCACTGTGCCCTAATATCAAAATAAGAGCCTCATAGTAACATGCAGAAGGACAAAAGGGTTGGATTTTTGTGTGTACATGATTTTTTATAAAATAATTATTGGAAAATTAATACAGAGAAGCACTCCAGATTTCTGAATTGACTCCAGAAAATACTTTATTTTGCCAACAGAGAGATTTTATATAATTGCCTGATTTAAAGTACAGCCAAGAAAGCCTTAAGCAGTGATTAGATGCATGTACTAATCATCAACAAGATAACCACATCAGGTCCAACAACTAAATTACCTGTGGAAAGAGTAACCGATTACCCCTCAGGGACCAGAGCAAAAGTAATTTATAAGATACTCAGAAAGAGAAGGTTTTTATTTATTTAGGTAATATCTTATATATGGTAAAACGTTCTCATAAAACTTCATTTCATGTGATTCTTTCAAAAATCCTGTGGGACATAAATACTTTTCAAAAACACATCAAACTGCATTTTGATTTTCTTTGCCTGGCACACAAGGCATTTAAGAACTACCAATGGAACATTCTGAAGATGAGCAAACTGACGCTCAACAATGGCCTGCCCAAACACCAGAGAGTCACACAGCTAATAAGTAGTAGAGCTAGGACTGGAAGCCAGGTGTCCTACATCCAAGCCAAGACTAAACCAAGCTGCTGCTTTGGCTACTTTCTTTGGATTTTTCACTTTTGTGTTTTATCAGCTGGGTTATACTGCAAGCAACAGAAACCAACTCTGGCTGATTTAGCACAAAAGGAAGAGAATGGAAGGACGGGGGCAGTTCACAAAAAAAGCCAAAATACCTGAGCCTGAACAAGGCCAGAAACCAGGAGAGCATCAGGAATCTGGGCAGGAAAAATAAGGGAAAGTTCCTATCTCCATCATCAAAACAGTTAATGTGTACTTTAAAATGGTCCATCCTTGAATGCTGTAGTCACCATTCAGATCCCAAGAAAGTTTGATGGGCATATGATTCAGCTAGGCCAACCCATGGTAAGGGGTGTTGCCTGGTCAGGGGCCTCTTAATTGATATTTATAAAAGAAACCATGGAAGGAGGGAAAATGATTTCTCAAAGAAAGCAGTACCAAGGCGTGCCTGGCTGGCTCAGTCAGTAGAGCACGTGACTCTTGATTTCAGTGTCATGAGTTCAAGCCTCAAGTTGGGTGTAGAGCCTACTTTAAAAAAAGAAAAGAAATCAGTATCAAAAGAAGGAAGGGAGGTGAGGTATTGCTAGGCATTATAGAGCAGGTGTCATGGATAAAGGGAACTATATTCTTCTAACTGGAAATTGAAGTACTTAGTCTGAATATTTTCCAGAATATTGAAAATGGGAGCCATCTAAAGCTTTGCACAACCTCAGGGTCTTCCATTCACATAATTCTGCAGCATTCTCTTGGTTTATGTGAATACTCTCTGCTTAGAATTATACAGGCCATCC